CAGGAGTGACTGCTGTCCATGAACTGGCTCCGTGATAACTCACTGCAAGGTCAAGGAAAACTACTAATTTCTGTATGAACAATTTCACATGGTTTAAAATACATGTTGTGGAAGTGTGAAATGAAGTTTCAAAATTTTGAACCTTTGCCTGAATTGGAAATATCAGTGTAAAGAGTTACATTTTATTTTCACTTGAAATAACTTTTTGTGTAGGCAATTTTGAATAATCTCAGATTAGCTTCAGACCTGTTTCCATCTTGCAGGACCTCAACACGAAATCAAATGTCCATCCCTTGAAGTGCTTCCATTTGATGATGTTGAAATGCATTTTCAGAAATAAAAGCTAATTTGGCCCTAATAAAACACTTTCTCAAAAAAAGACTCAAGGAATTTTAAAAAACCACAACAAACAGAAAGGTCATTTAGTCGCATGGAAGAGAGCATTAGTACCAGGAGGCCTCAAGGAGAACAAAATGCCGAGGTTTTTCCAGCACTCTCACCACCACGCTTCCCAAGGTCCCCAGTGCTGCAACACCACTCTTCTGAGCACGGCTGAATCACCAGGCCTCATTTGCAGAAGGGATTCTTTAGGGAAAAATAATTGGAAACTTCTCTGGAATTTCCTGGTTCTCTGGACCTTGTTTTAATGTTCCACCTCAGTACCAAGTGATGAAGCTGCTTTTGCTGTGTGTTCAACACGGATTTCAAGTAGAGAGTGAACATCCTTTGAGGTACTGAATAGCTAAAAAGACATTCTATTTTCTCATCTAGTAGTACTTAAAGAAAATTTCCTGCAGCAAACAGCATCAGACTAATGCACTGAGTTGCCATGGTTCCTCCACCTCAATCATAAAGGCCCAAGTACAAGCCCCTCAGAGCCCGCTCATCAATTATTGATTCATTCTGAACTGCTAGAATTAGCATTTTATTGGCTTTTCTTTCCCCAGACCAATATCTGTGCAAAGCTTGCTAATTTTCCATTGCTTAATCGCATCTTAATGTGTTAAAAATTCACGCACGTACTTGTCACATTTCCGTAGTGTTTGCAGAACAACAGTCCTTTTATTTTTCAGTATTTATTGTTCAGTATACAGCCGCGTGATACACTGAAGCTAAAAAAAAATCGGGGAGAATGATTCACAGTAAAACTCTGAGAAGTTCGTTTCTTCTAAATCAAGGCAGAAACAATTCTCATACAGTCTGTGACCAGTGACTAAATTCTACATTATTTTAAATTTAATTAGCACTATAAATAAGTGACAATACTACTATAACCTGAAAATAAGTCAGGGGCAAGATCTGATCTACATCTGTTTTCTATTTATAGTGTTCATACTCGTGTATTATTTTTATATGCATACACTTGTATAAAACAACAACAAAATAAAACTGTCCCCACAACAATAAACAGGGTATATTGTACAGCGTATAAATTATGTTATACAGTAAAACTGATCTCACATCCCATAGGTTATGGGATACAATAATAAATAAACAATGATATATTAATTTTCAAATTTAAGAAATAATTTTAAAAAGGAAAGTAAGATATTATGTACAACGAGGTTGATTCATCATTACCACTTTTACTCCGATTTAAAATAATGGCACTTTCATGTCATGGGAACCTTGTAAGCAATAACGTAGTGAATCACAGTCAATACATGCAACTCATCGAAGTTGTAACATTTTAAGAGCAACCTGAATTTTTTTGAGAGCTTGATTTTGCAACCCTGAAGTTAAATTGTTCACACTTAGTTTCTCTGCCTGCCTGTTTAATGCATATAGAAAAAAACCCCAAACATGTCTTACGGTATTCACCAGGTTTGCTTTTTGATTTGGAAGGAAATACTCAGCTTATTGCTGTGCCATTGCTCTTTCACACCAAACCAAACCCAAGCCATGGAAGCCTATGACAGTCCCACGGGTCCATTCCACTTCGATAGTGGCTGATGTGTTGACTTTTAATGGTAAGTGGCTCCCTAAGTACCTAATCACTCATTTATAGAATTTAAAACTCTAAACTAATTTGGAACATTCATATATTTTACCTACTGCTAAGCTGGCAAATATGACTAAATTACATGTCTGTAATCTAGATAATAGCTTATAAATCCACTAAAGCCAAGATGTGCCATAATCTACTACACATATAGTTGTACCTAATTCCTAATTTTGCAGTGCTGCAACTCTCCAGCAGCAAGTAACAGAAATGTATGTATGTACATATGTAACAGAAAAGGAGCAAAGCAGCATTGTGGATGGACTCATGTCTGCTGTTCTCATGCTCACTGATTACATTTATATTAAAAGCAGTATCAGCAGTGGACTGCTGTGGGAAGAGAAGCACAAAATGCTGCCCAAGAACATCTGGAGCCAGATGGCCCGGTAAATAAGTGGCAATGTAGTCACAAAGTGATACTTTTGACAGCTAGGGCTGCTTGTGCTTCTGTTAGTCATAGTTTCTCCAGATGCTCACAGAGCACGATGACGAGGTCTAACGGGGAAGCTGGGTAAGAGTAATAAATAACAGCTTATGGGTTTGCTGCACCAGACAATTTGTCCTCTGAGCTTTGAGAGAGACAGGAGTCAGCCCTGGGGGGCTGCAGGTAAACGCAGCCAGTCCTTTTATGTCTGAGTAAATTTAAAGAAACAGTATGCTTCACACTGCAAATCAATGTTTATTTTACCACATAACCATCAGAATTGGCAATAGGGTGCCAGAGCGCATCCTCTCTAATCTATCCCATAGCAACACGGGAGCACAATTTTCAAATACACATATTTATAAATCTGGTAACCACTTTTGTTCCTATTACTTAATTAAAGATTAGAAATGCTTTGGGACACACATACGCATGCACACATTAAAAAAAAAATATTTTTTTTTTTGTTGCCGTCAGAAATAGAAAGTGCCAGGTAGTACATCATCGTTTCCTGGTCCCACTGTTGCCACTGGCAGACTTATTGAAACTTCTGCTCATTTGTGGGAAGTGTACAGTTGGCGTTCTTTCAGTGGGGCCGTACAGCCCTAAATTCCTGGCTGTAGCTGACTTTCGAAGAGGCTTGACACTGGGAAAAGGATTGAAGACTTGTGGCTTTGTGTGCCCAGGCTGGGGAGATTTAGCCAGGTTTCCACTGTCGCTGGATGAACTAGAGGACTCGGATAAACGTGGCTGGCAGGACTGATGGGATGTTGACTCAGCATGAGTTTTGTCATCTGAGGTGAGTTCCAGTGCTTCCAGTTTTAGCTGAACCACTGACATGTTTGTACTGCTGTCCGTAGAGACTGGCTCAGACAACTGCCGATCAGGTTTTTGAGTAGTCCTGTCATCCAAACCACCTCCTTCTCTTTCTCCAAGGTCAGAATGTTTGGAAGTCTCTTCCTTTGCACCAGGATTATTTGTTTTACATCTCTCGCTCTGCTCATCTATTAGCCCTATGGTATCTCCGTAGCCCAGCTGGCCTTTGGCCCTAGCAATATTCTTTCGATGAACTCGTATGTGAGTGCGCCACGGAGAGTTCAGTTTTGTTTTAAGGTCTTCTTGGGGAATGGGAGACATTTTCCCTGCAGCATGACTTGGGATGTGAATAACAGCATTTCTAAGAGACCTGTTGTTCAATTTCATCTTCTTTCCTAAAAGTAGGTGGTTTATCACTGGAGAATGGTTTACCTGAGAAGGGAGGAGGCTCGTAACCGGCCCTTTGTCTGAAAGAATTCAAATGAAACACAGTATTGTTAAAGATCAAAACAAAAAGTTCTAAGGATCCACTCCAAATTTGATGCCTTTCTTGAGGTATAAAAAGGTTTGTAGGAATAACTTCTATTAAAAAAAAAAAATCACTGAATTTCTCGTATATCTTGGAGTCTAACACAAAGCTGTAACTTTGGTAATAAAGATTTCCTGTCCTCCCTCCCTGCTTCTTACCTCTGGTTAAGTCCTGAGCCAGGAATACCATGAAAATAAATCATAACAAAAATAGCTTCTTGATTTTTGGAACTGCACTGTAATTGATAGCTTAACATTAATATTGGCTTCTGATCTTTCCCCACTCCTTAATTTCTCTTCCAACCGTAAAAGGCAATTCAGTCCCTGTAGGAAGTCAGTCAAATAAACTCTCCATGAGGCTTGTGTGACCAGAGAACAAACCAATGTATTTTTAATGGATAAACCACACCAACTCTTCTCTACTACGTCCTCTTATTAAATCAGAGCAGTAGACTCAGAATTAGGTAATTAGATGACAGTTTGATTAAACAACAAACCCAGCCCCCATCATGATTAGTAAGATTAGGAAGGTTTGTGTTTGAGGGGTGGGGGCTGGCAATTCTTGGGAATCAACATTTTACTGTTTGCACTGTTTCTTCTGGCTACACCCCTTGTTCAAAGCAAATACTTCACCAATATTTAAATATATATATATTCCTTACAAATTATGTTAATGTTCATGAAAAGCTGAAGCTCTATGTATTCAAATCATAGACTCATTTAGGTTGGAAAACACCTTTAGGACCAAATGCTCCTGCTAGGACAAGTTTAGACAATTTAGAAGAGGAATAAAAATTCTCCACAGTGATCCATCTGCATGGTTCAATGCTGACTTAAAAAGATGACACTTAAGTGGGGAGGAATGAGTGGGGTGGGCTGCGTTCAGTTTGTACACCCACAAAACCTTCAGCTGCGCTGTTCGTGCTAAGCTCCGTGTTGCTGAGTTTGCCAATTGGGGAAGTAGACTCTGTAACAGGGATTGCTAAATAATGGATTGATGTCCAGCTCACAGCAGTGTCATTATAGCTGGGTAAACTGTCAGCCAGAATGGTACATCTAAGCCAGTTCTTCAGCTGCATAATTTGCCATGTCCAGATGAACTCAGAGGAGTTAGGATAATATGGACCAGCCAGGAATCTACCTGCCACTTGGTCTGAATGTACTCATCTCCTCATTTCACTTTTTACAGTGCATCAGTACATCAATTCCAAGAATGGCAAAGATTTAAAGTTTTTAATCAGAGAGATCAACACTTTGCACCCAGATAGCAAAGATACTTTTAAATACCATTGTTCAGTTGGTCCCTGGGACCTAAAAAAATCACAGGGTCGTCATCTTCAGATCCTGACAAAAGAAGAAAAAACATCACCTTTTCATTTACAGTCTGTCTGTACAAAGTGGTTCCCACTTTACTGCTAATGTGTTATATATTCCATCAGTCTCTCTTGTTTTGTCTATTTGGTTAAATGTAAAATGTTGTTTGCCCTGTCTCCTATGATGAAGTTAGCTCGTAATAAATCAGTAAATGAAGCATGTCTTTGATACGTTACCTGCTCTGATATACACATGGTGAACCTGCTGTTGCTGCTTCTTCTTTATCCTGGAATATTGCTTTTTCAGTGCATTAATATCAGTGGTCATACGCTCCATCATCATGCTGTTAAAAGCAGCATGATACTCGCTTCGGCAAGAGTCTATTGCTCCTGGACTTAATTCTGCAATGTTACTAGAACCCAGACTTTGTTCTTCATTCTGATCTGCACAGAGTGGGAATAAAGCGAGGATGAGGAGTAAAGTGGCATACTCAAGAGTTCCACAGATTATCTACAAGAGAAGTCTATGTATGATTCCTATTGTCTTATTTAACCATAGTCTTTAATTAAAAATTTATTATAATATGCATATTTAACAAAGCTGCACTATTTATAATGAGAAGTATTACATTTCCAGAACTACTCCTTAAGAATAGCAAGGGTTTGAGGGAAGTTTAAAGAGCACAAAAATCAATTAACATAGCAATGCAAAGTTAGAAGCACAGTTCTTCAATAACCCAAAAGTACATCAAGCCATCACTAAAATAATTCAGAAACTGATTATTAAAGACACTCAATTGGTCAAAGAGGCAGCTAACAATGCAAGTTATAAAATGCATCACAGTCAAGCAGGCTGATACCTGGTGATACCAGCAAGAAGCATCAAGAAACAGCTACAGCACCACAGGAAGAAAGCTGCTAGCAGCAAAAGGGATAGGCACAGAGCAGCTGAGGATCAGGCAACTTGAGAGCTTCTCTGATCAGCAACTGCAGAGCAACAGCAGCAGTGCAATTTATTTTCACAGCTGTTTCTGATGCACCACCAAACTGGCACTCCAGGGTCAAGGGGATAATTACTTTTCAAGGGATGTTTGCTTGTCTTTGGCTTAGTTTGCAGCAGCAGTTTGATGTTCTGCCTAAGTGCTAGCTTGAAGCAGCAGGTAGAGACTTACAGTCCCTCAGGAAGAGAAAAACATAACAGCACAGCAATCAAGAGGAAAATTGCAGCTTATAGGTCTCAATAAAACCAAGCCACAAGAATGATGATCTTTAATCAGATAATAGCAACTGCTACATCAGTCTGGAGTTTTTTTGAGAGGAAGGTGGGGATGGGTTGGGGATAAATAACTACAGCCTCTCCCAGGATATCACTAAATAACTGTTGATCCAGTACCACTTCATAAAAGCTGCTGCAAGTTAACAAATGATCTGCTTTTCTTGTATGGATCAGAAATTTATTCTGCTTGCAGAGCTTGCACAGGTGAATGCACAATTCTGTCATAAATTTTATTTCAACGTAGAGGGATTTGAAAAATAGTGACATTTTGTCAGAATATCCTAAACCATATCCAATGTTATAAAAATGTTAATATACCCAAAACATACAACAGTCTGAAGGTTTGGCCAAAAGGGCAGTGAAATGACCTGCAGAATTCACTCCTGACAGGTTCCAATATTAGCCATGTATATGCTAATAAAAGTTAAAGTTATTTATTACATGTACCCTCTTCAGAAGATGCTGACTACCTAACAGCTTTTTTGGAAAAAAAACATGAATTTAGGGTGGACTTTTTTTTTCCACACATATGCTTCTTTTTTTGTGGGTGGGCAACACTGTGGGGTTGGGTTTTTAACCATTAGTATTATTTAGCCAAATCCTTAACCCACACTGTCATTTACTGTATACATAGAGCCTGACTTTGAAGACACCTCCATGCACCACAGAGAAAGTCATTCTGTACCTGCTGTAATTTCTACATCAACATAAAATATAATTTTCATAGCAGCTCTCACAGAGGAAGCTACAGACGATTTCTGCAAGGTCATGCAGATTTAACTACATTTCCCAAAATGAACGAAAGCACTTTTACCTTTCATTTGTTTTTGATATTTTTGGATCTCTGGTGCCAAAAATCCACTTAATGGTCCAAGGCAGCCAATTGCATTGGCAATTGAGTCTTCATCATCTAGGTCATTCTCCTCATCACTGTCTCTGGTTCTGCCTAGCCTTCTGTCAAGCGAGAACATAAGAGAAATAAGAAAGACACATTCTTAAACATGAGTTACCAAACACCTTTATTTCTTTAGGAGCATACAAGGGAGGATGCCACCTGACTTTTCACTATCTGTGTAGGGTAAACAAAAACCCTATATGCCACAAGCAATGCATTTCAAACTTACCCTGAAAGTGAAGTCGATTTTACTGCTGCAGGGAAAGGAGTAATGTTGTACGTGTATTTCTCCCTTAATTCTGCCAGCTGGGGGAAGGGAAACTGAGCCATGGTATAAACAGTCTAGAGAAAAAAAAATACAGCTTTTAAAATTGTCACTTTAACTAAGGGTCCCACAAAAGATTTCTCCATGAACAGACGTCTTGCAGGATTAAAGGCTGCACATTCTCATGTGCTGTAAGAAAATGGAAGTGGTCTAGTTTTACGATTCAGTATTTCCTGTAAGAAAAATAAAGACTGACTCACTAGAAAAATACACGGCTCAGAGGAAAATAAATAAAAATTTAACAGACAACATGAGATGCAGGGTCCCTTTCAACTCCTATACTTACTTAATAATCATTGTCAATGCTTTCCTTGCCAGCACACCAGAAATCCTCCTCCTCCAATTATGACTTCACTTAGATGAATGCATCATTGAGATTTTCAGGATCTTGCACAAGACCTACGTTTCTGCTCAAGTATTCAACAGTGTATTGACACTAGCATAGATAGGAAGGAACAGATCCTCACTTGATATGGACTGTTTAACAGATCCATTACTTCACCTAAGCAGACCCAAGAGGTTGTAAGAAGGAAATCACTTCAACTCAAAAGTTAGGGCCAAAGAGGAAAGACCCCCTCCCCAAAAAAAAAAAAAAAAGTTAGACCCAGCTAACTTTTCTCCTCTCAGTTTCTGGTTTTGGTTGTTGTTTTGTGGTTTGGGGTTTTGGTTTTTTTTTGACAGGGGTTTTTGTTTGGGTGGTGGTGGTTGTTTTTTTAAAAGAAATTTGTTCTATGGTGAACAAAGAAACTTCTCTGCAACTCTCTGAACTCAACATGTAGTCCCTACAACTTAAAACAAGGCCGTAAAAAACTCTAATACATTTTATTTACTTCAATACTCAAAGTAGAAGACAAATAGTTGCAAATGCATTTGCTTTCAGCATTATTTTTCCTTTAAGTCATTTTGTAACAACAGAGTGTGTGTCACCAGCCAACCTGGCATAGAGGCACATCATATTCATTGCAACATCACTGTTAATTTGTTCCTAACTATTTCAGTTGCCTTTTTTTTTTTTTTTTCCTGCTTTTACACACAACTATTCAGGACTTTCAAATAACTGACACATAATTCATTGGGAGTCTCAATGTCAGAAGTAAAAAGAAAAAAAAATAGCTGAAATATGATTTCTCCTAGTTTTTTCCTGAGAAATCATAGCTTTTCCCCATCTTAAATATTAAATGTCTTCCGAAAGACAGCAACATAAAAATTTCTCATTAGCTATGACAGAAAATCTTTACTTATATTTTTTTTTCTGTGCTATTAAGTCAGTGGCATTTCCATCTGAAAGCAAACAGCCTCAATTAAGATGAAAATAAATTCTGAACAATTTTTACATAATCCATTCTTGAACCATGCCTTGTCTGTGCTAAATACATCAATGAAAATCATAAATATGAATTCAGTACTAGACCTTTCCTGACAGAAGAAGAAAAAAAAATGTTTCACCAACAGCAATGATGTAGGCAGTGAGGAACAGGAAGGACAGCCATGGCCGGATCAGGCACAGGGCAATAGTGCGGCTCATCAGGCTTCAGCGTGAAAATGCTTTCACAGTTCAAGTCATGCACACACTCTAAGGCAAGAAGAATGCCTACAGAAACCCAGAGCATAAACTAAAGCTTTGCCACTCCATGAAACTACAATGCTACTGTGAAAGACAAATATTCTCTAGGGCCTGAACAACAATATCCCGGCACTCTACCAGACAAAGGAATTTTATAATCTGGAGAAAGACCCACCTCCGGCCCAACATGCCTGCCTGCTTGTTTGATCTCCACAACACTTTCACCTTTTTTTTCCCCCATATGCCTCAACTCTCTCCCTTCATAGAGAAGGAGGTGTGTCTGGAATTTATTTCTGCTCTTTATGTCAACAGCCTTTTCAGGTAACTTGTTCCATATGCCAGTTACCCTTTAAGTGAAACAGGCGAATCGGAGTCCTCCATTTACTCCTTGCACCTACTGTTTCAGATTATGCTTTTAGCTTTTGCCTCTCTCCAATATGTATCTCTTCCAGATGCTGTGCAATTTCTTTCATTTAGCATACACGTTTTTAACTTAATTACTTGTTAACAGATTATAACTGGAGGCCTCGCTTGCCACCTGGCTAAGAGATCCAACAAATAAATTTTACGCTGATGCAAGCTCCACTGGAAATTAAAAAAAAAAACATTGCAAATCAACACCTGTGATCTCCTCACAGCAATGATTCAGAGTCAAAGCATCCTGCTCCTAGTTTGTACATAGCCTTGGATGCCATTTGGTTAATTCTGGTGAAACTGTGCCCAGGGGAAATGGCCTACACCCACAAAGCATGATGCAGCCAAACTGACCATCTTATTTACGGCCATGAGGGACAGATCCTGGGAAAAAGAAAAAAAGATTAGTAAAAACACCTCTCTTTTTACCTTAAATCAGTAGCATTTGTCAATCCTTTGCCTTACCCTAAAAATGCAAAGCCATCTACACCCTCAGCAGAATACCATACAGAAGGTTTTGGGCTGTGGCTTCCAAAACAAGGTAGGCAGTTCTGCCTTTGCAGACAGCTCAAACACACTTATCTCAAGAGCCTCCCCACACTGGTTTAAGGCTCCCCTCTCTTTTCACTTTCACTAAGAAAACAAAACAAAAAGCAAAACCAAAAACAAGCCCAAAAGAAAACAGACAAAGTACTACTCAAGTAGAAAGTTAACAGTAAATACCTTCAATCAGGGTAGCTCTCTAAAGGAGACAGTCTAAAATGCTAGGGTACTACAGAGGGATTAACCCCTGTTCCCCTCCACCACAGTAAACATCCAGGGATGCCTCTCCTTTTTCTGTTTGCTTCTCTTCCCCTCTATGCTGGAATGTTTCTAGCCATACAAACTGAATTAGTTTAGCTGCTTATAAAAATGCTCACTTTCTGAGAAGGCATGAAAGCATGTATTCAATCTAGCACACGCTGTTTAGAATACCTGCAGACATCTGGTGTACAGCCTTCTGTCTCCATGTTAGAACCAAAGTTTATTAACATGTCAACAAAATGGCGTTACTGAATACTGTATTTGTTTAACTTCTAGTCCTGAATACATACCTGGTCTAGCATCTGATCTGTACAGCATTTACCCTTTCTTTACTTAAACTGTTCAATCTGAAAAGGGAGGAAGCTGTAGGCTTGCTTGCTCCTCCAATCCCTCCATGCTCTCCTCAGCACATTGTAAGAACACTTGCCATGCAAGGGCCAAATCTGCAGAAGCTTTAAGCCCTCAATCCTAATTCTATCTACTGTGTGCACGGGAGGGAGGGAGGGATTCAGGCAGGTAGGTATCTTTAATGATAAACTTGCACCAACTATACATTGCTGATGGGAGAGAATGAGCACAAGAGCCCTCGGCTCTACTTTAGACATCTGCTCCATCAACACTTGCCCCTGAAGCCACACCTCCCTCCTTGAGCTCCCAAAGGAAACAGGCCTTTTAGAGCAGCACAATTTGTCTTCTAGGGGCAGAGAAGTGCTTGGTACTCTTCACTGGCTTAAGTGAGCCTGGACAGGTAGTTCAGATGCAAATGTAAGTGTCATGCAAGTCTAAAGTAAAATGTGAAATGATTGCCAACAGCAACCTTTACTGAAATGTGTAAGGAACGCCGAGTAGGATATTAAACCTTTCCCACAGTAGGATGCTAATCCTTGAGCCACCTTGTAAAAAGTATTAGATGTAAATTCACCATTCTGATTTTGATTAGGGAAAAAAGAAAAGCAGCCTGGATCCTTTCACTAATGCAATGGTTCATATTCCTTTATTTTCTTCTCCAACACAGAGAAAATTGTTCAAATGCAGCAGGCAGGCACATGGTGGCATTCATATCCCCTAACGACAAACACTTGTAGTGCCTAATTCTCTTCACTTACAGTAAAGAGAGCCTAGAGCCAACACCTCAGATGGAGATGGCTACACTGCCAGTGCCTGCCTCTGACTTGAAGAATGACATCTAGAACATAGAGTGGTTTCTTCAACTGAGAGGACACACGTAAAACAGACACATTCCTTCTCTACACAGAAAACTTAAATCTGACACGTTCTCCGTATCAATGTCAATGCTATCCTACTTTAACACTCCTGTCAGTGTCACAACACACATGTACATTATGAATATACATATACTTTGCACCAAGTACTTATTTTTTGCTGAAGCACAAAAAACCTGCTAATTTAGTATAGTTGTAATTGCAACAGTTAAATAACCCCCCAATATCCTTCCATCCCTCCAACCAGTAAGTTACCTATGTTTTCTATTACACACAATGGCGAATAAAGAAATCCACACTGAGTCACTAAAGCCCACCTCAGCTTTCCTAACATTATTCTTTGTCACAAATGCCACATCTCGATTTTGTACTGCTCTGAAGACCAGGAACTGAAACACAACGAATATGAGAAGATGTCAGCTTGGGCCACCCTCCTTATGCATCCTCAATATCTGAACTGCCCTGTGAGAAACTAACATTTCTTTAAAAATCATCCAAGTACCTCTGACTAGCTGTGTTTCCATTTTTGAAGCAAAACAAAGGCACAGTGCTCACCTCTCTTCTTCCTAGAGTTCCCTCATTAAACAAAACAACGGCAATAACAAAAGTAAAAAATCTTAAAGTGATCCTTTACTTCAGAGCAGTACTTCACCAGACAATGGAAGCATATTATCCCAGAGAGTCAATATGTTTTTCTTCCAATAAACAGGTGACTTCTCTTACCTATAAGTACTGTAAATAAACTTATCCAACTTCATATACTGAGACTGACTTTGTTTTCCTTCTCCTAAGTCAGGTAAAAAATTTCAGATTAATTATGTGCTCTCTATTTGCACCCATTCAATCACCATACTCTAACATCAAAAGCAAAGCTCCAGAACTGTAGCATGTAGTCTTTATAAAACACCTCAGCAGTCAACACCTCAAGGATATAAGAAAAAAACCCAAGTGCAAATCAATACAATTACATCAGTAATACTAAAGGCCCTTTCCTTTCCCAGAACAATGTGGATCTTTGTTCTCATACAATGACGTATGCTTTAAGAATTCAGGGACTGCAATTATCTACAAATGTCTCTGTTTATAGTTCACTGACAACTGTTCATGGCATTTTTTTTAAACATGAAGGATATTTTTTTCCCTTCTCACTTGATAAACTCTTGTCTCCCATAGTGTCTGCAGAATGACAAGGACACAAGGTAACAAATAACTGGCCAAAACATAAAAATAAAACACCCTACAAATTATGACTACTGAAAGATTCTACAACTTACTTGCGTAAATCCAATTGGACATTATATCACAACAACTTTCATCTGTCAACATACAACCAGTTTTTATCAAATGGAGGCTGGTGGTTATCTACACTTAATGCACAAGATAAGATTTTAGCTTTAACTGCAGGTCATCTATTTGTTTCATTGACATGCTAGCTCAACTCAGTTAACTTAAACTTTTATTCTTGGGAGAGTTTAGATTTTTGCAGTATCTGAACAAAAATGTAATTTGTTAGAAATCAGCATCTCAAGGACGCACAAAAAACCACAACAATAATTATATCACAATTACTCACCTGCATCAGTTCATTGCTGTCAATCAGACTGTCTTCCAGCATCTCCTGCGTCAGCTTGCCCATGGTACTGTAAAACTCATCTGCAGTTTCACAACACTCTATTTGCCTACATCAAAATACATGTTGTTTTTTTAATTTTGCCTTTACATATGATTATATGTCTCCAAACCAAAACTGAAATTTCTATCATCACAAAATATGCTCTTCCATTAGCGACCTTAATCCTTAACTTTAGTGCAATCCTTCTCACACTTCCAAATAATAAAACCATGCACACCACATTGAAAACAGGGGTGCAGTAAAAGGATGTACCGAGCACAGCTTACTGTCCTGACTGCTCACAGTAAAGGATTCATGTGTGTCCAGACAGGTTACCACCCCTGCCTCTTTCACTTCTACAACATGAGAATCACTAAATCCTGCCTCCTATTAGCACAAGGGAGCTCTCCCATCAGCTCAAAAACGAGCATAAAGCTTTTTCACTGCCTCATCACCCATTCTTCACTATGCACCAAACAGCTGAATTCACTGGTTGAGCTGTCGTTTTGTCAGACAGAAACATATTTGCTGTCCAGAAAACATTCTGGTGGAGTAAATTAAGTATAAATGTATTTACATATGCCATTGTATTCAAAAGAGCTGAGCTCACATGATGCAGAATGAAGGAAAATGCACTCGTATCCTGCATACTTGTGAATGCTATTTCTAAACTAAATTAGAGATGCAGAATTTTGTTTGGTCGTTTTGGGGGTTTTGTTTGTTTGTTTTTTGCTTGGTTTGGGGGGATTTTTTGTTTTGTTTTTTCTTCCCAAACATTAGAAGTCTAAAAACACAGAATCACCCGCATAGTGTCAGCTAGAGGAAGGGAAATACAAGTAATATGCTTCTGTGAGTTGCTGTTCCACATACATTAGGGTCACCCACTAAACATCTTCTCCCGTGAAGTGAAAATTTTCTTTTACTTCTATCCCAAACAAGTGCATTGCTGGCTACATATTGCAGCCTCCCCTGTAAAATACAGCTGCTGGAACAATCAAAAAAGTACACAGCTTTTTTTCTTAAGGATTAGACATGGAAGCTTCCCTTGATCTTCAGGATCTATAGAGAACAACCACTGAATTATGAAACTCCTACTGAAATCTTAACAGTTCAGCTACCAGAATGATTAAGTAGTAAAAAAAAAAAAAAAAGTGTAGAAACAATGGGTACGTAGCCAATTATCACAAACTTATTACTTACTTTCCCTGGTACCTTCAGTCTCTCATGACCTCCACATACTCCTTTCTCTACTGCACCTATTTTTAACCTCCCCATTCTTTCAGTCTCCCTCAAAACAAAAGTATGATTGGACCGCCCACATTTTAGGAAAAGCACTTCTCACCCCATTTTCCTGTCTGTAAATAGTCTTGGGAAGTATGAAGATCATGAGACTATGATCACTGTTTCAGGCCCCACTTTACATCCCCCTGTTCTAATTCCAGTGGTGAAGAAAGAGGAACAAAATCACAGTCTTCTCCCAGCAAAAACATAGTGCCCAACCTTTTACTTCCTCATCTCATTTGACATCATTAATCACAAACTTACTGAATTTCAATTCTTGTTCAGTTTTAGTGATTCCTTGTCTTCTGGATCTCTGGCTATCATACCAGTGTCCCTTTCTGTTAACTGCCCTCAAATCTGCCAGACCTTCCCATTCCTCACAAACAACAGTTACAAGGTGTGCAGTGTGATCAGCTTATTCTTTTGGACATATTCTTACAGATCTCTTCATTCCGTTCATTCGAATTTTTATAAAACATGTTTTATTTTTGCTTTAAGTTTTATGGTAAGATCTTCAAAGCAGTGACTTTGTTTTTTATCACGTTATGAGTTGGAACATTTGTAATTACAGCTTTAAGTGCACAGAGACCCACTGCAATAGGACCTTTTATCTAAAGGTACTGTACAAAGTAGTAAATGGGACTACATATAGCTTAATCCTAATGCAAATGATTCATGCAAGTTTCATTCATGAACTGAACAAATAAAGCTCTCAGGAAATTATTATTCTAAATATTATTCTTCAGATTAAAAAATAAATATACTAAACAAAGTCTCTCGCAATGCTACTAGCCTGCAGTGCCAATTTATTGTAAAAGAAAAAAGAAATTAAACCTCCAAGGACGGAGCTGAACATAAATCCCCGTGGTTCAGTCTCAGAGAAAAAAGGAAGGTGAGCATTGATAGGCACCACAAGAAAAATTTGATGCAGCTGCTGATGCCAGCTGACAGAAAGTTTCTAGCTGAACTAACATCTGCTCAACCTGTTAGAACTCACACCTCCCACTGAAGTCAGTGACAAAACTCACCTCTTTGGGAGCAGTGTACGCTCTTTGAAATGCAAATACTTGCTATGACAACTGAGGAGTTCAGAAGAACTAACCATCTCTTGTGTTTTGTCCTATGCGGTGAGTTTCCAAGGCCATACAGGACTATAATAGAAACTTGCCTAGAATGTGCTTAAAAGCAGAGAATTTCAGGAAAAATTGTTTGCAGGTCTTAACAACAAAGAACCATGTAACATAAAATCATTCTCTTAGTAACACTGAACTCTTTTCTTGTGCATACCCAATGGGCTCAAATCCTTAAGTCTCCTTAAGTGAAAATAAGCGAACTAACATCCCCAGCTTCAGGTACCCAACCAAATTAGCTAGTCACCCTCAAGTCTCTCTGTTAGTCTTTCCATAAAGTATTTAGCAGCTCCCTCAGAGGTCTATGTTCTGGAAAGTCCAACCAACCTTTTAACACAGCATGAAGACATTATACATGGACAACGCAAACTGGAGACATTTCCTGCAGCAAGGGTCAACTAATTATCATGCCTATTGTAGCATGATGTCAGAAGCACGTGTTTTTGGGGAAGCCACAGAGGCACTTTGTGCAGCTTTTTCAAAGCAGAATCATTCTTCTAAAAGATTGCATCTTGTTTAGAATTGAGAACACGCTCTTCAGAACAACACAAGTTTTACACACATTGCTCATACTGAAAAGAAAAATCCAATAAAAATGACCACTTACTCTCCTAACTTTGCCCAGATGGCTAAAGCTACTCTCAGTATAATTTCAGAGCCTTCAAAGAACACTGAATCCCAGATCTTCAGAACTGTATGGTTAGGCAGGCAAGTGGCAAAGAGGGTCAGAAACCACTGCATTGTGAAGACATTTGTAAGTGGGGGTTCGTAGCCTCCTGAAATTAAAAGAATAAAAAAAGGCTTAAAGTAATTGCAACTTACTATTACTTTACAAAGAGTATAAACTGCATACTAAATCCACCAAACATCCTAGTACCTCTGTTATTACTCAAAACTTACTTACCCTGCAGCTGTACAAAGATAAGCTGAGAAAAACAACCAAAAAAACCCAACAACATCAAAACCCCCCAAACCCGCTCCATTTCTTCAGAAACTAATGGCGTAAGAAGTCTTTATCTACATGAAGGGGAAGGTGACTGTCTCTGTAAAGTCTTATCTATTGCTTTAATATCCTGATGCACCGCCAGCTTAGCAGAAGCCACTGTAACACATTCACTTTTCCTTTTGACTTGTTAACTTTCAAACAAGATTTAGTATTTCAGCCTGAAACTCTGAAGTTTTACTTTCTTGTTATGCTCAGAGAACACTTTGTGCATCCTAGTATCAACTGATGCACTGAAGGCCATGATCAAGGAGGCTGCCGCCTGTGAAAACACTTGCAAACAGCAAATACTTCCTTGATACCTCTTCTTTCTTTTTATGTAGTTTGGGAACAGTCACAGATTATTTACATGGAACAAGGATAGTAGATCTTTTCTTAGATGGAACTCAGGGTGTATTTAGCTTCCAGACTGAAAAAAAAACTCCAAACAGCAACAAAAACTTCACCCTCCCCCAAACACTCCCAAATAAAAGAGCTATATCTTGCTAAAAAAAAAAAAAAAGTCTGGAGGGAATGCTATACCAGGAAAAAACAAAACAAAACAAACAAACAAAAAAATCACAGTGCAAAGCCAGTTTTCAGGTAGTAACCCAAGAAGTACTTCGGAATTTTGCACCTGTGTATTGCTAAGCATCCAGGTGAAGAAATTCTAACCAGCCACCACTGGCTCACACATTGTAACTTTTCCCAGAATAGCTATGTAAGCTAGCAGCCACAAAGAGCAGTGCTAGGACAGGTACCTTGAGCTAAAGCAAGAAATAACCTTTCCAAGGTAGTCCTTGTACCAAGCTGTGTGTTACAGTGTTGTCACTGCATACATTTAATATCCTTGTCAACACAATTCTCTTTGCAGTTAGTAGTGAGACAAAATTATTTCCCCTTTATTTTTTCCTGAGAGCACCACTTATTTATGTTAAAAGTTACCAATAATGGAAACCGTCATCTTTCACCTTCACAATTTAAAATATATATTCTAAGCAATAAACTAACGTAAACACTAAAAATACTGTATTTTTAGACCAGTGCTCAGATGAAACAATAGCAAAAAGGAATTTAATAGCATTTTCTGGTGAACCTACCTCCACTTTCTCTGTTAGCAGCCCTTTGCAGGGTATCTAAGTGCTGGGACAGTTCAGGAAGCTTCATTCGTAAAAGATCTCGGAAAACAGCCATATCCACAGAGAGAGCGCGGAGATTATTGACAAAATAGCTATCAGGAAGCACCTTATCAATTAGGTAAATCATGATCTATAGGGAAAATGAAATATAATCATGTAGGACTTACGGAGTCAGTTATTTTCTAGGAATCACAGAAAAAAATATAGAATTTTAAAGTTCTCTGTTCACTAAAGAATGGCTTGGTGCCAGTGGCAACACATGCCTCTGGTGTCTCCATTTATACGGGGAGAAAATTATCTTTTTAAGCCTCCCCAGATACTCTAGGTCTCCACAAGCAGTCAAGTTGCAAACGCTTCTTGAAGCTGTCCAGAATTTATGAAACATTAATGACCAAAATCAATGTCACAGTAAGCTACACCCAAATGTGAAGCATTACACAAACCAAAGGCAACTTCTGTCACTTCTGATGCTGTGTTTTATGAGAATGTCCACACTGTTGGAAAGTTCCACTGCCCCTTCTCTGGTTGTTAACTGCCACAACTAGAAGACTGATCTTCCAAATCACCTTTTTTCCTCTCTCCAAAATGCAAGATACTGTTCTTTAAAAAAGATTCTCCACACATTTTACTGTGATGTGTTACCATGTGCTGCACTTCATCTTGTCACTTTAAAAGGTGCTAAATTAAGCAGCATGAGACATTTTAAAGAGGCATCTGTTTCAAGCCAGATAGCTCAACTATATGGGTGATAATGTATTAACTGGATACAGTCAAACTTTTGAGAATGAACAAGTGCAACAAAGAAATATGCAGAAGTTGATGTATATCATCAGCCCACCAGAAGATGCTGACTTTCACTTCAGGATCTTTTACAGTCTCTATGGCCACTCTACAAACCATAGGCAGAGAGCTTGCATGTGGTCATCCCATCTGCTTCAACTCTCCATTACTCCTTCGTTAAAATTTCAAATGAGCATCCTTATCATCTGTTTCATACAGCCTCTTATGCTTGAGAGGAGCATGGCACCTCCATACACAGGAGACAATCCTCACAGAATGGAATCACAGAATCATAGAATGGTTTGGGTTGGAAAGGACCTTAAAGATCATCAAGTTCCAACCCCCCTGCCATGGGCAGGGACACCCTCCAC